CTCCAGAACACACAGGAAGAGGTGTCCATGCTCCATTTGCCTGGCACTTTATAGAGGTAATGGTATCCCTACTAATATAGCCAGTACCACATGATACTCCAAGTACAGTTCCAATAGCTCTTGAAGATGTAGGATTGTATGGATATTCAAAAGGCAGGTATTTACATAGCTCTGAAAAGATACAGGAGCAAACATTTGTCAAGTTGTTATAAAGGAGAAACTGGAAGATACGCATCGGAAGTCCATAACTAAACAAGATTCTGAACTATTGCAAGCCGCATTAACTAAGCACAAATCTGACAGGGAGTCCTCAGGTATCCCCTGGACTCACACTTAGCTAATGCACATCTTCAAGTAGGCAAAGAGAAGCTGAGAGATTGGTTTTTGGGAGATCCGCTCTAGCTGAGTTTCGCTTGTCTTTGAATTCCTTGTCAACTTTCTTATTAGCTGCAGCACTTTCTAGCTGCTCCTGATCTGGTTCTATGGTTCATCATGAGAGATTACATTTGCATTACTTATGTATATAATAAATGTAGAGCCCAAGGATTTATTGCAATTACATACTGGTATGAAGTTGAAGACACCACTGCAGCTGTACTCATGGTTGATAAAATAATATGTATAAGATCTGGTTACGTTGGTGGACAGTTTTTCATAACTCATAACACTGTGTCCTTTACCTTTCTTTATCCTAACTATATTGGCTCACCATCCGAGTTACAATTTCATGGAGTCCGAAATAGAAAGACAATTTCATGGAGTCAGGAATACGTGGTTGATCTTATAGACATGCATGCACAAATTATTGATAGATGAGAAGTTTGGAATTTATGGCAGATAATAAAAGTTTAACGAGGATATTCACAAAGTAAGTATATCAATGGCAGAGAGAGCTTTTCGGAAGGGACCAGAGACACCTATCACTCTAAAATCAGAGGGTAGAGCGTTCCAGAGAATGCTTCCCCGAAACATCATGGTCGATCGTACCACAGGCCCACGAAGAAAGGGAACTTGAAGCAAGTTCGACACTTGTCCCCGTGTGGTGTGCTGATCCTCCGGAACAGTCTCTGGGGCCGTTCGGGTGAATAATTGTTGAAGAAGGGGGCTACAGGAGGAGTTAATGCATCGATGAACAAATACGACAATTTTGTGTGTATATGTATGTGGTAGACTAACAATACTGAGCAGAGAGAGCAGCGGGGCAGTTGGAGTCAAGACCCGCTGTTGCAAGGTGGCACGGATGCCAGCCTTGAACATCTTTTCAAGCTGACCAAGCAGGCGGGCGCTAAGTCCTGGAAAGAAACTGTTTGAACCATAACACAGCTGGGAAAGGATCATGCTCAGGAACCACGTTCGCCGAGCAAGCAAACTCAGTCCTCGTCCATGCCTCCAGAGCTGACCAATTGTTCGCTCTGTCTTGCGACCAATATACTCCACATGTGGAGCCCAGGATAAATCATTATCCAGGACTAAACCAAGGTACTGGGCTGTTGGGGTCACACAAAGTTTCTCGCCATTGCAGAAGACCTCTGGTTGTATTGCAGCCGCGCCTCATGGCCGGATGAAGAGCAAATGTGTCTTGGAAGTTTTGAGGAGCAGGCCAATGTCCTCCAGCTAGGTAGCAAGGTTTGTCATGGCTTGCGTGAGGGTTCTGCACACTACAGCAGGATCAGAATGGGAGCAGTCGATGACAATGTCATCTGCAAATTATTGGTGCTGTACAGACGGTGGCAGTGGCCTAAGGACGCTACCTTGTGGAACACCACGGGAGCAACTGACGGCTTCACTAACAGAGTCAAGAACTTTGACACTCTGGAAACGCCCTGAGAGATAGTCAGTGAACCATTCTATACCAAGGGAAAACAAAACTGTAACTAGACTTTCATGCTTACACCCTCGAACACTGTCCCAGTGAACTCTCGTTTGCATCTAGCGGTGGACCATCGATTAACAGCTAACACAAGTGCATCCTCAGTCGAATGTTGCTTGGGATAAGCAAACTGGCTGTCGGCCAATAGCTGGTGTGTCTCCAGATAGGCAGTGAGCTGTCTCTTAACCATGGTCTCCAGAAAACGGGAGATAATGGGGAGGAGAGACACTGGACGATAGTTCTGGGGCAGGGTTGGGTCGCCACTCTTAAATAGGGGACTGACATGTGACACTTTGAAGGTTGGCGAAACCTGTCCAGTTCTAAGAGACAAATTGATAATGCTGGTGAGATTCGGTGCAAGAACAGAGGCATGTTGCTTGAGCAGGAAACCGGGAGTCCTATCACTGCCCGTGGCTTTGCTTACATCCACTGATTTCAGGCATGACTCAACATCTGTCACTGTGACAGGCTTGAATACATTAAGCTGCATTGGAGGCTTGGGCCCAATGGCAGCTGGAGGTGGGGTGGACGTGTTGGATCATTCACTACTCTGCCAAACACTCGACTTATCTCTGGCAAAGGCGCTTGAGGGATTTGCGATTTCTTCCTTCTGCCTGCACAGTATTTAGTACCCTCCAGAGTTTCCTCTGGTTGGTAGTTTGGCATCGGGTGGTAAAATACTGGTTGCGCAGTTTCCTGTCAAGCTTCCTAGCCACAGAACGAGCTGATTTATGTTCCTCGCGTAATCTTGCATTACCCTGGTCCCGCATCAACTTCCGGTGTAAGCCATTGCGCTTCCGTACAGCCACAACTAGTTCATTCATCAGCCATGGGCATGGGAGACGTCGATGAGCACGCTGAGCAACTAGAGGCGCATGGTGGTCAAATGGTGATAGAAGAGACTCAGTGAATAATGTAATCATGTCCTCCAAGTTACCATTGTCAGGAAATGCCTGCTGATTGCGCTGTACATCCTCGCTGAAGCGATCCCAGTCAACGAGGTGCAACCGCCGCGTGGTCGTTGGTGCTGATGAGCTGTGCTTCGGCACGGTGAAGCACGGTGGAGCACGAGCGCGATGGAGCTGGTGAAAAAGGAGTAAATCCAGCAGCGTAGCAGAATGGGATGTCACTCGGGTGGGAGATGTTACATAGTTGGAAAGGTTGAAGCGGCTGATAATAGAGCGCAGAGGTACTACAGATGGCTGACCCTGGGCAAAGTCCACGTTGAAGTCGCCGACAATCGTGGTAGACTTTTGTCGGCCTTCCACAGCTCGCTCGATGTTATGTTCTAGTGATGCCCAGAAGGCAGCTGGTGTAACCGGTCAGGATTCGATTCTAGGAGAAGAGAGCGAATCCAAGCATTACAGAGGATAATGAAGGATAGAACATGAGAAGGCTGCAGTGGGAGGTGTGAGGGTGATACAGTGAGAGATAGCACGGGAGAGGTGAGCGAACTGTCACACTATTCCCCCTCCAAAGGGTTCGAGGAACCTGCAATGTTAATTCACTAAACGAATTCATCTAACCAAAAACAAATAAAATATTTCGAAGCTAAATTGATAACACAAGGAACCCAAGTGGTGTAGTTAATCCAATCATGCCATGGGATTCAATACCACGTCACACAAGAACACAAGCAGCAACAGCAACGGGTATGAAGGCAATCTAATGCTTGTGCAGCCATGCCTGAAGCGTGCGGCATAAGCATAAGCAATAGCAGGGTCAAATAACAGTAAAAAAAAAAACAGTTGAAAAAACATGTTTCACTGACCGGAAGAAAATCATGAGGTAGCTGCCGAGAAGGAGTAAACTCAGGAGCTTCTGGCTGCAGGTCACCGTGCTCCAAGGAGCGCCACGACCTCCAACACCACGACCTCCAACACCACGACCTCCAACACCACGACCTGCACCACCACGACCTCCATCACCACGACCTGCACCACCACCACGACCTGCACCACCACCACGACCTCCACCACGACCTCCACCACGACCTACACCGCGACCAAGTTTTCCGCGGCCTGCGCCTCTCGCAACAAGGATCACTCTGTGCACTCGAGCCTGAGTCGGCATCATCATCGGAGTCATCGTAAGAAACAATAACTCGAGTCGAAGTCATCGTCGGAGTCATCATCTGAATCAAGATTGTAGTCAATGACAGGAGCAACAGCAGCTGCTGTCGAACGAGTGACACGACGCGCCTGATCAGGTGGTGAATTAGCTGATCGTGCGTGCGAGGCAGCACTTGAGTTGCCGTCGGAGCTCTGCTCCCTTTCGACTTCTTTGCCGACTTCTTCTTCTTCCGCATCCGTCTCGCCACGCAGAGCTCAATCTAGGTCACTCTCCTCCTCAGAAGACATGTCTAGATCGCCAGGAGAGTCAGGGTCACTGCTGGTACCTCCGCTCTCATCAGAATCAGGCCTGAAAACAGCACCAAGCGCCTCACTTGCACTGGACCTACGAGCCATAGCGGAGGACGTTCTTCTCAAACTTCTCAAACTTCTAGGCGCTCTTTCCAAAAAAAATTGTATGTGAAGCATACGCTTTCTGTACATTGATGGAAAGCCGCGAGTGCCAGCTACGTTGAGGATACCATTTTAGATCTCCCCTAGCAACAAAACCATTCAAAATCAGCCCGCGAATGTACCGATACTATAGTATCGGTACGCTTATGGTAGACTGGTAGACGCTGTGTCCATATATTGAACCATAGGCTTTCTGTACATTGATGGAAAGCCGCGAGTGCCAGCTACGTGGAGGATACCATTTTAGATCTCCCCTAGCAACAAAACCATTCAAAATCAGCCCGCGAATGTACCGATACTATAGTATCGGTACGCTTATGGTAGACCGGTAGACGCTGTGTCCATAATAACTCTTCGCCTACTTTTGAAAATCACGAGGGCATGATTATCTGTATCTGATAATTCGTGCACCTTGCCTCAACTCGGCTACCACTACACTTCTGAGTACATGATTCGAGGCACTTGAACCAGATGCTACATTGTTTGGCTCTTGGCAACCATTATCATTTTTGACTCCGGAATGAGAATGTTCATTCCAGCATGTGAGGTGGAATGATCATTCTCCTAAAAGAATCATTCTCAGCGATTTCCATTCTGGAATGGGACCAACCTAACGCACCTTTTTGACCAACCAAACGGGCGAGAATGATTCCGAGTGATGAGTGATTCCCATTATGGGAATGTGACCAACCAAACGTAACCTAAGTCAGAGGCGGGCCAGTCTCTTGTGTGCCAGCACAACAGTGCACGCGTCCATCCTGCGAAGGAAAATTGTC